ATTTGGGGGAAAAAGTCAGTTTAGAGCCTCACCTCACACTCCATGCAACTAATTCCAGAACCAACTTTATTAATTCTAGAGGGAAAGAAAGCCCTAACATTTAAAATACTGAAAGAGGGGCACCTGGGTGGCTCAGTCAGTGCAGCGTCTGTCTTCGGCTCAGGTCATGGTCCCAGGGTCCTGGGATCAAGTCCCCACATCGGGCTCCCTGCTCAGTGAGGAGTCTGCTTCTCCCTCCCTCCCCCCCCCGCAACTGATGTTCTCCCCCTCTCTCAAATAAATAAAATCTTCCAAAAATTAAATAAAACACCGGAAGAAACCACAAAGGACCAGATGCAAGTGTCCGCAGGCCTGCCTCATCTCCTTAGACCAGCAGTTCTGAGTGGGCATGATCCTCGGAGGGGGCCTGTGAGGTAGAACTGGCTTTGTAGTAATGCCCGAATATTCTCTGCTTCCCCCACTCTATCTCATGAGTCCGCAGTGGAATTGTTCAGAGGCTACATGAGAAGTGATCTTGCAAAAGATTGAGTGCAGAAGTGGGTGTGAGACTCCAGTTGTCTTCTATCAATAGAAGAGCCAGGCATTAAAGAAATCTGCAAAAATGGAGAACAATGCCACTCTTTTTCACTCGTTTTTTTTGTGTTGGGAAATAGAGAGTTTTCATTAAAATATGCTATTTATGTTGTCAGGTAATGAGTTTATTTTCAAAATAATATTTCCAGACATTCTCCATTTTAATATGGTAAATGTTGATAAGTAAAATCCACATAAGCAAAAGCTCTCGGGGGTCCCTAAGTGATTTTTAACGGCGCAAAGGTATTCTGAGACTCAAAGGCTAGAGAACTGCTCTCCGTCCCCACGCATGTGGGCTGGGCCTTGTTTTCCTCATCCACAAACCCCCAGCACCCAGCACATCCATCCATGCAGCAAGCTGGCAAAGGTTTAGAGTGCCCACCACATCATGTGGTTACAGGTACAGCCGTGAGCTAAAGGGACAAAACGTATGTGCCTGCGTCGTGTTGTTGTGTTAAGAGTCCAGTGGGCACCGTGCCCAACGAGAGAGTGGACTGGCTGTGTAAGAAGTCAAAATGTCAGTAAAACACACACAAAAGTAAAGCTGGACACACGTGCAGCAAATATGACACACAACAGGTTAATACCTTTAATATATAACGAGCTCATACAAATTTATCAGACCCCAGTAGATAAGAGCAAAGGACACTGACGATCCACAAAAGAGGAAATACAACTGCTTAACATGGAAAGATGTTCAACTTTGCTAGAAAGCAAAGAAATGCAAACTGAAACACAATGCTATGTTTCATTATCAGATCAGCAAGTATTTAGCCAGAGGATAATCCTCCGAGCTGGCGAGATGGTACAACAGGCACATACATCCTTGCTGGTGGCAGTGTTAATGGATACAAACATTGCTGGGAACCATTCTGTCAATACGTAATAAGGGGCTCAAAGGTTTTCGTATTAATTCAATAATTCCACCTCTGAGAATCTATCCTAAGGAAATAACTTGACATTGGGGAAAAGCGTTATGCACGAAGAAATTCTTCCGTTTCTGGTGGTGAGAAATTAGTAACAAAGGGCATGGGTGATCAACCATGGGCACTACTGTCCATCTACGTGATGGAGGACACAGCCATTTCAAACTAAAATTAGTAATAACGTGTAATGGGGAAGTTCCCTCATGGAAGTGAAAACACGAACACAATGTTGTATCCTTACAGAAGGTAGAACCACCACTACGTCCCAACAAAAAGAAGAAAAACCATGATGGATGGCGGGGGGGGGGGACCTGGCAGGAGAGCCACCAACATGTTTACACTTCACTCTTCTCGCTTTCTACCTTATTTTCCAAAATTTCTACAAGGTGTAGGCTTGCTCTGATTATGAAAAGACCTGGTGATTGTTACTTGCTCGTGGAGTTAGTGACACTGCAGTGAGGAACCAGGGTCCCTCCCACCTCCTCCACTGCGTCTGCACTGCACCAACTGCCACCACCCCCCATGTTAGGACCCCGAGAGACACCATGGGGTCGTCAGCTCTCTCCACACAGTGAACCTGTCCTACATCCAATCCTCTCCCAACGCCGGCAAGATACCGCTGTTGGTCCAACAAGGTGCTCTGCACTTCCTTCTGCAGAGTCCGGTCTTGACCTCAGCTCTAAGCCCCCCATCTAACATGTCCCAGGCACTGGGGATCTTAGTTTTTCTGCAAGGATCTCGATCTCCTCCTCCTCCTCCCACCCAGACTCCACTGCTGGCGGTGGCCCACGGGAATGTCCTTTTATACAACGATAGGGCTTGCCCCCTTAAGGCAGCCTAAGTACGTGCCCAACTCTCCCTCACACTTCTCTCCTATGGGCCGAACTGCCAGGACCGCGGTGACCCAGCAAGTGGCCTGTCACACTTGACGGCAGGGACCCACACACCAGGAAAAGTCCTACCAGCACCTTCTCGGGGGGCTGTGCACCCGTCATTACTTACTCATCATATACTTACCTGGGACCCACGAACCAGGCCTTTGCTTTTTCCTAGAAGTCAGCGAAATGCTTTAGGACATTAAATTAATCCCAAGGTCACACTATACATTCAGCCAGGAAGTCACCCCTTATTCTAAATTCCATCTCAAACGATGCCCTGTTATGCCATGAGGCTTACTTACCAGATGGGGTATCAGGTAGACCAGAAAAACCACAATATATTTCAAATAATGTCAACACCATGAAAAACATAAAACTTCCCCTCACGTGCACTGTTTAACACTACTAACTGCCTGTCCCTTTTACAAATCAATACCTGTTCTCTTAAATTGAGAGAAACCACAACCCCGAAGTCTGTACAAAGCTGCTCCTCTCCCCCACCTCCTTCTTCAGCTTGACCCTGCCCGACCCGCGGTCTGGCTCTGGGCTGCATGGAGCGCGGGTCTCCTCCTCTTCCACTGGGAACTCGGGTGTCTTCCCCCCGGAGCCACAGGGGGGCTCCCAATGTGGGGCCTCGTCTGAGTCCGATGCGGGGCAACCCCCTGAGCCTCTCGTCTACTCACTTCCAAAGCCGCCGGAAGCGGTCAAGGTCACAGATGTGCAACAGCACCAGTCCCAAGCCAATGAACAGAAGCACCAGCGGCTGAAACACAACTCACCGAACCAAAGGATGCTGGAGGCTGGAGCGGCAGCCTGGACGGGCCGGGTCGGGGGGGGACAGGCAGCACGGCCAGCCCGGCCCTCCACAGCTCAGGCCCTGCTGCACACAGCACACAACTCCAAGGCTGCGCGCAACACAAGCATAGTAGGACTTCTACGTGCCATGTGGGTAGGCCCAGGGGTCGGCGAGATGGCACGGTTCCCGCCCTGCTTCCATGCGGGGTCTCCTGCCCTCGCCAGACTGGGCCACATGGAAACGTTCAGGGTGCCACCTACACCCGGCGGGCCTCCTGTCCCCCGGGTGCCTGCACCCCTTCATCCGTGGGCACCTCCACCTAGCAGGCAGACAGTAGAGCACTGAGCACAAAGAGAAAGTGATCTGTACATCCACCACTAGAGGTCCCACCCCCCAGAATGGTGGCCCCACTGTGTGTCCTCCCCCCCCATTCATGCTTAATGAGCACCATGGTCCCACCTGAACAGCCTTGGCTGGAATCCAGGGGGGCCTGAAGCCTGTATTCAGGCAGTTCTTCAGCAGGGCGATTGGGCTAACAGAGTTTACAATGAGTGGGTGCCAGTGGTCCACGAACCCCAGCAGCCACTGAATATCCTTGACCTTGCAAGGCAGTGGTCGCTTCAAGAACGCAGTCACTGTCCCCAGCATCATCAAAACTCTTAGGAACAAAGGATGTACCCTAGGACCCAACCTCTGGGTATCCCAAGACACCGGTCTCCGGGTGGGTGCAGAGGCTATCCTTCTGCGGTCAGGCCAGGACCATTCGGACAGGGCAGGTGGACCCAGGGTAAGACACCTCATCTTCCCCATGGTCCAGGTGGTCATGTAAATGCGGTCCGTTTGGCATTAAATATGGCGAGATCATCATGGTCCAAAGGGCTTGACCAAGTCTCATTTAGAAAGTGATTTCTGGGTGTCCCCTGTGAGGAACCCAAAGGCCATCCACCATCGGAGGTGTAGCTTTGTCCCTTGGAATTCAGACCCAAGTGCCAGTTCTGTCCTGTCCCCACATTAAGACCAAGGTAGACTGCAGCTCTTTCCCTTTACAAATGCCACAAAGGCCCGGGTGGGGCCTTCCTTAAGTGCTTAATGATGCATCCCAGAGGATTTGGGTCTCCAGCTAGGAGTCCCTGTTTTCTTAGACAAAGGCTAGACACCCCATGGGACAGCCCAGGCATGGGGAGGACATGCTACACGCCGCTTTGGAGACCTAGAGGTGGTGTGGGTGGCCGAGGGGGCCGAGGTGAAGGCCACATGTCACCTGGATGAAGATGGGAACAGGTCTCAAGCTAGACAGGCCTACCGCCAAGTGATGAGCGCAGAGAGCAGGGGGTGACTACACACTAGCTGGTGGTGGTGTTTCCCACTGGTGCACCCCCCCCTCCTCAGCCCGCTGTGGGCCTCGGGCAGGGATGTACATGAACGTGCTGCCTGTGTTGGCTCCGTGGAACCGCTCAGTGATCCACAGTCACGATGACCTATGTAGCAGGGAAGTTCCAGATTCCCAGAATGCCCAGCGCTGTCAGAACATTGGCAACTAAAGCCAAGCATTCCTGCAGGTGCATCCTCTGGGGGCTTCTCCTTTTAGCTGCATTAGCGGTCTTTCCCAGGGGCGACAATGGGACATACTGATTCCGTGTTCATGCACAGAGCAAAGCCTGCCCACCAGAAATGCTCGCACCACACTCCCAGCAGTGAACACCTGGCCACCGCAGCAAGGTCGAGGCCCCCGCCTGCTATCCCGGGGCCTGGCAGGGCTGGTGATCACCTACAGGTGCGAAGCCAAACCCCTCCCCCAGGTACCCAAAACACACCACCAGCCTGGCCAAAGTGGCTCCCCTCTATCATCAGCAGGGAGTTGCCAGGGGGGCCTGCACAGGGTGGAGTAGGAGCATCCATGAACCTAGTCAGGCTGGGAGAGATCAGCCCAAATGATCGGCAGCGGGCTGTGGGGTCACTGTGGCCAAGCAGCAGAGCCGTGGTCACCAGGAGAGCTGGGGCGGCAAGCAAGAGAGGGGAAGCATGCACGGTGGGGACAAAGCTATAGCACAGATCACTAGGAAGCAAGGTGGGTGACAGGGCGCCCAAGAGTGATGAAGGAAGATCTCCTTATGGTACAGGTCTGGAGAGGCAGGGACGAATGTCTTCAAACAAGGGTGATGCTGTCCTACGGACATTTCTTCTATGTAGCAAAGGGTGTATGCTGTCTGCGTGGCTGTAGATGCGACCCGGGTGGTGGCCGATTCTTAAAGGTTCCGAGCTCGGCTGGGCAGAGCCGGAGCTGGACTAGTCCCGCTGGAGGCTGGGTGCACCGGGCAAGGCCCCGTGCCTGTCGCAGCCAGCTGGCGGCACAGCATCTGCCGCTCCCGCACGGCCCGATTAGAGGCAGAAGTCTTCCTGATTTGGGCGCGCCGTGCATGCCGGAGTGGAGACTTGTAGGTTCTCCGCAACTCTGCCAGGAATCCCTGATAGTTGTTTCGCAAGGGGCTGTCAGGTTGCATGTGGGGGATCGCCCACTTCTCTGCCTCCCCGGTCAGCCGGGACACAAGGAACGCCACTCGTTCAGCCTCACCTGGGAAGCGGGAGGCCTGGAAGATCATGAACCTGTCCATTTGCATCAAGAACCCTGCCAGCTGGCCGGGGTCTCCAGAAAAGGGCTCGGGCAGAGAGGTTGGAGGCGTGGTCATTGGTCGGGTCCCGTTGGAGGTAATTGCGGAGATGGGCGGGGTGATCTGCAGCGCCCCCGGAATCCGGGCCCTGGTGCGTAACAAGGTCAGCTCTGCCATCACGCTCTCCAGCATGTTGGTGAGATTGGCCTTCTCTGCCCGCAGGGTAGAGGCCTCCCGCCTCAGCGCGGAGTTGGTGAGGCGCAGGGAGGTCAGGGTGTCGATGACGTCATCCATTTGGGCATTGGTAGATGCTGCCGAGGCCGGGCTTTCAGCTTTTGATGTCTGGGGTTGGACCATGTTGGCCAGAGGTCAGCCTAAGGCTGAGACGGGTGGGCTGGGAGAAGGGGGTGTGGGTAGCCCAGAACCTGAGCACCTGTAATGCTAAAATTGGGTAGACCCCGACAGGAATCAGGGAAAGGGCGGGGTTCAACACTCAGAGCGGCTGAGAAGGCCAAACAAGAAGGCAGGGCAGACGGAGCCGAGGGCCGAGCACAGCCGGGGCCAGGCAGGTGGGGCAGGCCCTGGGGGATGCCGATTCCGGAAGCGGCTCTTTTAACGCAGACCTCACTAGGCCAAGGCGGGCTGCACAGGGGGGTGGATTGTTCTGGGCCCTGAAGGAGGAAAAGATGTTTTCAGAAACGTCTGGACTGCGTAGAAAGGGGTGGAAGGGAAGGCCGCAGGGGGTGGGGGGGCGGAAAGCGGGTGGGCAGGAGCGCCCGGGCCCGAAGCCCCCTCCCCGCGCGGGGCCCGGCGCCCACCTTGCGCAGAACAAAGGGCGGATGCACCTGCGTCGGCGCGGGGGCCCGGGACGGGCGGCGGGCGCGTACCTGGGTCTCCGCGGCTTCTTCCGCGGCTCCGTCTGCCGCGCCGGCCGCGACCAAGATGGCCCGATCGGGGGACGCGGGCGGGCCGATGAGTCACGGCGGCAGCGGCCCGCGGAACTGCTTCCCGGTCAGGTCAGGCCGGGGCGGCGGCGGGAGGCGGGCGCGGGCGGCCTCGGGTGGGAGCACGAGCGGGGGCGGGGGCCGGGGCCGGGGCCGGGGTCGCAGCGGAGGGAGGGCGGGTCGCGGGCGGCCGGGGTGCGGGCGGGACGGGCGCGGCGGCAGAGGCGGTGGCGGCGGCAGGCGGGCCTCGCGCGGGCCCCGCTGGTTGCCATGGAGACCGCCCGCGCCCGCGTGCGCGGCGGAGGCCGAAGCCCCGCCCCGGAAATGGCGCACGCAGCCCCGCCTCCCAGGACTACCGCTCCGCGTCTTCCTGCAGCAGCCAATCAGTGATGTCCGCGGTTGCTGTTATTTTATTACTAGGATAGATGCCTTCCTGTTTTTGTAATTCTTTCTAAGGTTACGAGCGAGGCTCTTTTTGTATATGTTGTAATTATTTTTTTTAATGAAACATGCTTTTCATAGTGTAACTTGAATGCAAATTCAATATAATACATACTCATTGTAGCAAATTTTGATGTCACAGAAGTCTTATAAAAACAATTTTGTATCACTCAAAAATCCCTCCACCTGAAAAAAAATAGTAATATTTTTGTAGTTCCACCCAGTCATTTTTCTTTGATATATTCTATTTCAAAATGTTAATTTTTGTACTTTATGAACTATTTTGGAACCTTAATAGCACACTGAATTTTGAGCATTTTCCCTTTAAAGATATTTCAAAAGCATGATTTTTCAGTTACTGCCTAGAGTTCCACTGAAATCGCATACCATGCCCCTTTTGATGGATCTCTACCTTAGTTCCTTGTGGAAGTTCTATAAACCTTTCTTGTATACAAATCCCAGACTTGCCTCTGCCAAGTTCTCCAGGGTAATAGCCAAAGAGTGAAATTACCAGGCCAAAGAGCATGAAGATCTGGATGCTTTTCCTGCCTGACCCTGTTGAGCTGCTTCTGGGTGGTCAATTCCAGGTTGGGGCACCACCAGAGAGAGAAGACACCCACCATGTCAGTCTTTCTAGGACACATCTTCAAGGAGGCTGAACCACTTGCAGCCCCTGCATTCCTCACTCAATCCTGGGACAAAGTCAGCTTCTCTCACGCCTTTCCTGTTTTCACTTGTATAAAATGGGAATTGGAGCATGAGGGTGTCAGTACTTGAAGAGGATGGTCTAGCAATGCCCACTACTGCGTGTACCCCAGTATGCCAAAGGGTACACTTTTGGTGACCAGCTGAAAATTCTAGGACATAAGGCAAGAGAGGAAAGAAAGGAGATGGTGTTTCTTTAAAATGCCTCCACGAGACCTCGCAAAGGAGATGGGGGCAGGAGCTGCATTCATCTCCACTGAGGTCAGTGACTTTAAATGCAGAAATTGGCCTGGACCGCATTACCCCTCCCACTTCTTCCAAACACACACAGGAATCCCCATCTACTCCTGTGAGTCACCCCATCAGCCTCTCTGCCTCAGCCTCATGATTGTACCTCACCATATCCCTGAGCGCTGTACACAGGAAGGAAATGTCTGCTACAATTTCAGGTGTGGTTGACACTGTAAATCCTAAATCCCCGGGTGCATTGAATAGAAGGTACACCCTCATTTCAGAAATAATGAAACATGAATTTGAAGAAATATGTAATTTATTTGGATTTCTCATTATTTCAAATAGGATGTAAATTGGCATCACATAAAAACAGTGAAATAAAAATTATAAGAACTTTAAAAATAAAACAGGGGCAGAGTATTTGGCTTCTGATCCAGATAATTGATGGTTCATGCTCTGAGATAGCTCTCTCTGCTACAAACATAGAACAATGATAAACTATACAAACAAAGTATTGAGAGGATCTGGCTGGGCTCAAAAACAAGATGAACTCCACTGTGGTCCAGAAACACACACTGCTTAGTATTGACAAAGCCATGGGCTTGCTGGGCCCTAGGTCCTGAGGCATAATGAGGACGTAATGGTCCTGGCAACAGTATCAGGCTTCCTCTTTGAAACCAGGGGAGAGAGGGGTCACCTCTATGTCCGAAAGGAGTCTGAAAAATCTGCTTTGACCATTTCATGGGGGCAACAGCTTCTGTGAAGGTGTAGCCCTGGGACAAGGAAGAACACACAGTATCATGAATCTCATGCCCCTGGCTTGACAAATAGACCCTGAGGGCCAGGAAGCATGAAGTACTACCGCCCATATAAAACATGTTCTGTACTGCAGACCGGGCATCACGGGAACAGCCCCAAACTGCTAGACTAGGGAGGAAGGGGGCTCCAGAGGATTGAGTACACAGAGAATACAGAGAGAGAGAGAGAGAAAGTGAAAGATAGCCTTTTACCCCAAAATGAACCTAAAACTCAAAACTAAAGCCCATGAAGACATCTAATGCTAAGAATAATGGCCACTAAAATTAATAATCATAATATAAATTAACTCCAGATGAAATTAAAATAATAGAACAGTCTAGAGGGGAAAAAAGACTTTAAAGGAAGCATATTTAGGATCCTCAATGAGAATAATGAAGGAAAAACATTTGTAAAAAGAACAGACATGGCGGGTGGGATCAGAAGGCAAAAATGTAACAAGATGAGGTGGCTATGGAAAAGTATCTTCTAAAAAGCAATGAGGTCAATTTCCATTTCCAGGAAGATGGAGTTGGTGCATCATTCTTTCAGCAAAGCACAACAGAAAAGAACTGAAAAAGGCAAAAATGTATCAAGATGAGGTGGCTATGGAAAAGTATCTTCTAAAAAGCAATAAAGTCAACTTCCATTTCCAGGAAGATGGAGTTGGTGCATCATTCTTTCAGCAAAGCACAACAGAAAAGAACTGAAAGAGGCAAAAAGACTTTAAAAAGTGGAGAGAGAAAGGCAGATTGGCTAGGTTGTTCAGGACCCAAGGACTGACACAGCAGTGAGTTCCTTGAGTATTCTTTTGTGTCATACATCTCAGAGCTGGAGAAGTTGGCAACCTGGATGTGCCAATGGGTACAGGCAGAAATCTCCCCTCAGAGGCCTGCTCTCTCAAGCCAAAGAACCAGGAAAGGTACAGCCTAAGAAGACAGAAAACTTTTAGACAATACTCAAACTCTCAAAAGTCAAAGGCAAAGAGAGAATCTTGAAAGCAGCAAAAGAGAAGCAGGTGATTATGTATAAAGTGTCATTGATAAAATGAACATCTGGTTTCTCATCAGAAACCATGGAAGCCAGAAGGCAGTGGGAGGATAGATTCAAAACACTGAAAGAAAAGACTGTCAACCAAGAATTCTATATTCAGCAAAAGCAGCTTTCAAAAATGAAGGAAAAATTAGGACACTCTCAAGTAAACAGAACTGGAGACCATTCATCACCAACAGTCCTGCTCTATGAAAAATAATAAAGAGAGGTCTCAAAAAATTTGTAAAAGAAATAAGGAAATTAAAAGTGGTACACTAGAAAATACTTCACGTGAAAGAAGGCAGTGGTGGAGGAATAAAACAAACAAAAAAAATAGAACATATAGAAAACAAAACAGCAGATGTAAATCCTACCTTATCAACAATATGTTAAACATAAATGAATTAAACACTCCAGTTGAAAGGTTAAGATTGACAAAATGGATTTTAAAAATGTCCAATTCAATGTTATCTACAAAAGACACAAATTAAGTTGAAAGTAAATGAATGGAAAATGATGTATCCTTCAAACTAGCCAAAAGAGAAATGGTTTGGCTATACTAATATCAAACAAAAGAGACCGTAAGTAAAAAAAAATGTTACTAGAGAAAAAGGACACTTGGTAATTATAAGAAGATCAATCTACCGATACAACAAATCTGAACACATACACACCCAACAACAGAGTCTTCCACTTCAAACCTTATCTGCAAATATATAGCAATCAAGGATGGGGGGCACCTTGGTGGCTGGCAGTGCCTGGGTGGCTCAGCCAGTTAAATGTCTGGCTTTGGCTCCAGTCATAATCTCAGGGTCATAGGATTGAGCCCCACATCGGGCTCCCTGCTCAGTGGGGAGTCTGCTTCTCCCTCTGCCCCTCCCCCTGCTCGTTCTCTCTCTCAAATAAAGAAATAAGATCTTAAAAAAAAAAAAAAGAAGAAGAAGAATGTATAGTTTGGTCCAGTAGAATAGAATTTAAAGTCCAGATATAAACCCTAACATTTAGAGTCTATTCACTTTCAAAAAGAGGACCAGGACAATTTAGTGACCAAAGAATAATCTTTCCTAAAAAAACTAGCTATCCATAGCAAAGAATTAAGTCAGACTCCCTACCTCACACCCTATGCAAAAATTAACTCAAAATGGATCAAAGACCTAAATGTAAGAGTTAAAACTGTGAAAGTCATAGAGGAAAACCTAGTAGTAAATCTTTGTAATCTTGGGTTGTGCGATGGTAGCTTAGATATGACACCAAAGTCCAAGTGACAACAGAAAAAATTGATAAACTGGATTTTACCAAAATTAAAAATTTTTGTGTTTCAAAACACGCTATCAAGAAAGTGAAAAGATAACCCACAGAATGAGAGAAAATATTTGCGAATGATATATCTCGTATGGGTCTAATATCTGGAATATATAAAGAACTCATAACTCAATGATGAAAAGACAACCCAATTTCTCGAATGAGCAAAATATTTGAACAGACATTTCTTCAACGAAGATATACAAATGGCCCATAAAGAAATGAAAAGATGTCAAACATCATTAGTCTTTAGGGAAATGCAACTCAGAACCACAATGAGCTATCACTGTATAACCCCCTTGTATTGCTATAATTTAAAAGATAGACAAGTGATTAACATAACAATAAAAAATTAAAAAATGATAGACAATAACAAATGCTTGTGAAGATATGGAAAAATTAGAGCCCTCATCCACTGCCGGTGGGAATGTAAAATGGTGCATTTTGGCATTTCCTCCAAAAGGTAAACGTAGAATTCCCACATCACCCAGAAAT